GACAGGAGGGAGTGGGAGCCGGCTGGCTCTTTCAGATATGGTGGGCCCAGGCAGAATTCATAGGAGCCAAGTGGGCTGCAAACGACCTGGCCCTCTGCCCAGCTGGCCTCCATAAAGGATGATCGGCTGCATTGCATCCACCAGAAGCCAGGGCAGCTCACAGAACGATGGGATACCGTGGGTACAAGGCCCCAGGTCAGCTCTAGGCCACGTGGACAGAGAGTGCCACCTCCCACTGGCACAAATTTGCATTTTACCTACTTTAAACATTTTTCTTGTGGCCTTTGTTTTGGGAAGGAAGGGCCAAATTGGCACCACCTAAGTTTTGGCGGCCTAGCCCAGTGCCCACATGAGCACCTTTGCATGTCTGTAACTACCAGCTCAGCTACATTCTGGACCAAATGCAGCTGCCAAGTCAGTTCCAGGTGGAGAACAATAATCCCAGCTGAGGCAGAAATGACCCTGGGCCCAACGGATGCCGAAAGGGCATTTGTGCTCGGTCTTCCTCACCACGGCTGCGTTTCCTTATCAGCCTGGCCTGTAATGGAGAGGTTTCTGCTGCCGCTGCTTTTCTCCCCACGTCCACCCAAAGGGTGGCCCAATTCTGGCTGGGCAGAGAAGTGCAATTCTGATTTTGCACCCTGACATTCAATCCCCCTCCCCCCCAGGGTGGGAGGGCCGGGTGTCCAGGTTCCCACAGGTGGGAGGGTCTGTACCTCAAGAGCGAAGCCACCCACCAACCTGGCTGGGGGCTTCCCATCAGCCCCCGTCCTCCTCCTCCTCCCAAGGCCTCCCTGACCGACTGCCGTTTGGTCTCCTCAGAGGAAGCCGCTGAGGGCAAGAAGAGCTTTGTCTACCATATTAACGATGGCGTCTATGGGTCTCTTGGCTCGGTCCTCTTCAGCAACATCCGCCCTGTCCCCGTCCTGCCTAAGGTAAGGAGAGGCCCCTGGCTCAGCCAAGGGGAGCCAGAGTGCCAAGGCCGCCTCCCTCCCTCTGGGAGGCTTTAGGGAAGGGGCCCCGGGGCCCCCTCCCGGTCTCCCATGCCGCAAGGGGCTCCCTTCTGGCTTGGAGGGCAGCGGCCTGTGCTTTCGGTACAGTGCAGATAGCATAAGGAAGGCCAGCACGGGGTTGTGGGGCTAGGATCACTTCCACCCACAACCAGGGAAATCAGTGGGTGACTTTGGGCCCTCTCTCTGTCTTCAGCTTGCTGCTGTGGGGATAAGCAGAGAGGGGGATCCCCGTGGAAGCTGCCCTGAACTCTTGAAGGCTGCTTGCGTGGAAGGGTCTGCCTTGATGGGCAGCGGTTTTCCTGCAGAGCCATCTAGGCATACAAAGGGAGAGTAGCTAACATTGCAGTACTGGAAATGGTCTGCCGTAGACATTCTGAATATCTAAGAATATATAAAATTTCTGCAAATAGGATTTAGGATTCTGAGAATTTATAAAACATCTCAGAATACAGATAGTCCTTGACTTACAACCATTCATTTAGTAAACATTCCAAGTTACAGTGGCACTGAAAAAAGTGACATGACTGTTTTTCACACTTAAAACCGTTGCGGCATGTGATCACGTGATCAATATTTGGACGCTTGGCAACTGGCACGTATGTTTATGGTGGCTGCAGGGTCCCAGGGTCGCACGGTCCCCCTTGGTGGCCCTCTGATGAGCGAAGTCAATGGGAGGAGCCGTTCCCTTGACAAGAGTGCTGCTAACTTGGCAACTGCAGTGGTTGTACAATGGGGCAGAGCTTCCTTAACATCCGTCTTGCTTAGCAGTGGAAACTTTGGACTCAATTGTGGTCATAAATCGAGGACTATCTGGAGATCATTACAGTCTTCAGGAAAATCAGCTTAAACTGTAGCTGTGGAGGATCCCAGAAGATCTGGCGGGTTACAGCTCTTTTCTCGTCTTTGCAGAAACCCCCACCAGATCTCCCTTTGCACAGCAGCAGCTTCTGGGGACCGACTGGTGACAGGTTGGACCGAATTGCAGACGGCCTGGAACTGCCTGAGCTGCAGGTCGGGGACTGGCTGATCTTTGAGAACATGGGGGCCCACACCGTGCTCGCCCCCTCGTCTTCCCAGGGATCTCCGCCCACCCAAATACACTATGCTATGTCCAGAGGGGCCTGGTAAGATGGTTTTCAGAGTGGAAGGAAAGGGGGAGGAGCGCCTGCATTTCCACTCCACAAAGCCACCGGTTACGAAATAGAATCCACCAGGGAGCAGAAAATGCTGGCCTGGGTCTTGCTCTGGCCCCGAAATGGCACAGGGTGATCACGCAGAATGCTGAAACAATGAGAGCACATGGACCGCATTCTTACCATACGAGACTCTCCCGTTGTTTAAAAAATACAGAAGAATTAGAGGCTACCCCAGAGCCTGTAGGGAGCCCAAGAGATGACTTGAGGAAACCAAATAGAGAAGCCGTGTACACAACAACGGGTGCAGAAGCCGGCACTGAGTCCAAACAGGAGAGAAAGCTCAGGCTGGCTCCCCTCCACCCCAAGTCCCTTAAGAGGGAGGGGAAGAGGAGAAACAAAAACCAACAAGCAAGATTCTGTTCCTGGAGTCTGTCCGAGTGAAACAGAGTTCTAGTTATCTAACGGAGCCCGTTTCTGACTTGGGCCACCTCTTAGGCTGAGACTGCTGCAACTGATATTTTAAATGCCCGTTGAGTCACAGAGAGGGAATGGTCCCCTGGCCCCATGACCACTTACTCAGTTCCAGACGCTGAGCTGATGTTGGGTGCAAACCACCAGAAACACTTGTGAATAGTCTCAAGCAAAAGCTTTATTGTTAGTCACCTCTGTTACAAGAATCTCACTCGCCTGACTGCATCCCTTTGGGAAGGGCCATCTAAGGCTTCAAGGGTCCTGGGAGAGGTCGGGCCTCTGCCACTTTCTGCAGTGCAAGGGCTCTCAGCTCAGCCCCCCCCCCAACACCTTTCCCCAGCCTAGCTGGAGATTTCCCCACAGCTGACTCCTTTCTCCTGCAGGGAAGCCATCCAGCTCCTCCAGGGGAAATCGCTGTATCCGGAAGAAGAGGATCGGGAGAGCACGTGTACCCCCCCCTGCTGTGGCTGGGAGATCGCAGACACCCTGTGCGTTGCCCCTGTCTTCACTCCAGCAAGCATCATGTAAGCTGCGCCAGTCCTTCATCCTGGGGCAGACCCCTCCCAGCAGAGTCCTGCCATGTCCTCTCCTGCCTCACCTCTTCCTCTTTTTGTCAATGGCCGCCTGCCTCTTGCATATTCTGCCCTGAAGTAGGACCTGGTTTCTCCTCCTCCTCCTCCTTCCTTTCCAAGCAGTGTGGTTTTTAAGTATGCAACATAAATCCTGTTCCTCCTAGCCTGGTCTGGGTGTTCTTGAGGGCATATTGGGGGCAAAATCGGCAGAGGGATTGGAGGCCAGGACAGCCCCCTGCAGCCGTGCAAAATGGGAAGGGCAGCCACAGCAGCCCATAGTTCTACTGGCTTCCAGATGAGACGGTTCAGGGGTTGCTGTGGCTGCACATTAGCGCTTCCTTCCACAGGACGGAGTCTGATCTTCGGGGAGAGTTACTTTTGATGTGCGAAGGCAACCTGGGCATTTAAAATAAGGTGGAATCTACACAGGTTCAAGGAGTCCTGAACACCTGGACCCAGCCCTCGCCCCACAAAAGCTAATACCAAAATGACATTTTTAATGAATGGGAAGTCATGTGACTAATGAGCCATCTTATCCATTACATTTTAATTAATATCATTTAAGTTAAATTGAATCTCATTTGATCTCCACCCCACCTGGCTGTTCAGAGTTCACAAGCTGGTACAAAGAGGCATGCTTGCTGCTCACAAAAGATGTCCCATTTTTATGTCTTTCGCCAATGGGGACAAAATGGGGGCAAGAATGTGCATCGTGCCTTAGAAGTAAGCCTTCCAAACCCTTAAGGTTTACTTTCGCTGCAGCAGAACTCCGTTCGGTTCAACACCTGCATTGCGCTTTTGGAGAATGTGAGGGCACAGAGACATTGGAATGCAACCGAGAACACAGTTGTGGTTAGATTTTGGGAAGAATCCAGAAAGTTAGGCAAAGGGAGGCCTAACTTTTCCAGAGATGGACCGCAGCTGCCTCTCTTCCAAGTTGCTTCTTTGGGGCTCAGCATGTTGCTACTCCCACGCCCTGCCCCCCACCACATATGCTGGCTAAAGGGTTAAGCAGACTTCTGCACAGCATGTCAGAAGGGACGTCTGCATCCATCCTTCAGAGACGGTGCATTTCTGCAAATGTAACGTTCTGGCTAGGGGGCTGTCAAACAGCAAAGCACAGAACAGGCAGTCGGATCAACACACAGGACACCTACCTACACATAACACATAGTTGGGAATTGGGAGATGTGCGCATCAGCCTGTCTGCAGCCATCTGCAACCTGCGCTCACGCATCTACTCCTGCAACACCTCTGTGTAATCGCGGGCAACTCTAAATTGGCCTTGATGCAACAAGCAAAGGTCAAACCAGCTGAGCTGCGAAAGCGCTTCCTGTCCATGGCCACCAGAGGGTGCTGACAAGGAAGCAGCAATTAGAGCTAACCTCTGTAGAGCTAAGCCTTGTAGAACATACCGGAAGCCTGTCAGAACGAAGGGATGGACTCCTCTACCCTTTCGTCCCTCTATGGTGCATACGTACTTCAGGGCCCCGCCCTCTCCCGGCGCGAGCGTCGTGAAAGGGGAGTTTGCGCGACGGCCGCGGTGACGTAAAAGCCCCGCAAGGACGGCGGCGAGGGAGGGAGCGCCGGCGCCGCTGCCCGAGGGAAGGTAGGCGGGGGGCGGCCCCGGATTCGCGCGGCTGGTGGGGGTTGCTTCGGCGTGGCGACTCCCAGCGCCCGCGGCCGGAGCCGCCCCAGCGGCGGAGGAAGGGCCGGGGGCGGGAGGGGTGGGCCCGGAGGCAGCAGGAGAGGACAGGAGAGGAGAGGAAGGGCGGGAGAAAACGGCAGAGCGTGAAAGGCTGCCGGAGGGAGAGCAGCAGCCCTGCCGGGTGCGGTGCCAGAAAATCCGGAGCAGCCCTTGAACCCCCGTCCGGCTCGGCAAGGTCACCCTCGGTCAGTTGCAAAGGGCGGCTTTGCTTGGGACAGGATTGTCCGGAGACGATGCTATATCAGTGTCCCAGGTTCTCGGGAGGGACTCGAGGGGGGGGGAAGAAAAGTGCCAAATCCTGTCCAAACATCTGGCTGACTGCGCAACCCACTATGACTATAATAAACAATACAATGCATTCCTGAGATGGCTGTTCTGCCTTTGGCTAGAAGATGCTGTCGTTCGTGGGGAGTTTCTGTGTGTGCAAGTGAGGAAAGTGCAGTGGTGAGATTCAAATACGTGTGAACAACCAGTTATTTGCATGGATGCCGCTTCCGAAGTCCATTCTGGGCCTGGGCAACAAACAATTGGCTACCGGTTCTGCCGAAGTGGTGCGAACCGGCCGAATCCCCACCCACCCAGCTTTTGCTATAAAAATGGACCTTCCGGAAAAAACAAGGTCTCTGCCCATTATTGAAGCAGGCTAAACTTGATTGAATAAATACTTTTGCAAGGATTAATCCTCTCCCCTTACTCAGCTTTTATGCCAAATATACATTAATCAATGTACCGTGGTGTTCACTTTATGGCAGCTATTGCATTTCTGTGGTTTGGCAGAGGATGAGCATGTTTTGATAGCATTACCCTGATAGTTGAAAATGCAAAGGTTCAGCAAGTTCTAGTAATAAAAGTTTAAGGAACAAAAAATGGGTCTAAAATTAAATGTAAAGAAGACCAATCTCATGGCATCAGTAGAACAACCTGATTTAGAATTGGCAGTGAATATATGGAAGTGGAGAGCTTCTGCCTCTTATAGGATCAACCATCACAGTCAAGAAATACACCATAGTCTAGATGGGCGTAATAGTGAAGGCCTTGGAAAAGAGATGCAGATGCTGTATCTAGCCCTACGAAGATCAGAATTGTGCATACAGAGGTTTTCCTTGTAATCTTCTTTGAAAGCAGAAGTTGGAATTTGAAGCAGGATAGAAGGAGTATTGATAACTTTGGTGTTGGAGAAGACACCTGACAATGCATGAACAGCGAAGAACACAAACCAATGGACCATTGAACGAATGAACCCAGAATTCTCACTCAGGGCTCAAATGACCCTATTTCAGACACATGGAAACTCAGTTCTCTGGAAAACTATGACTGATAAGAGTGGTCTGAATACTGAGGGGAAACTAAGCTTCAATAAGAATCTTGAAAACAGGACATATAATGATTTAATAAGATGACTTTTATAAATACAGTGGAATAAGCTGATTAAAAACATGTTATATGTTGTTATTATATGCATAAATACTAAAAATGTTTATATTCAATTTGGTATATACTGAAAATATTAAGAATTATATTAATGAAGCACTAAAGATTGTTATTGCAAAAAATTAATAAAATATATATATTTAAAAACGAGAAAGTAGATTTTTATTCCTCCAGTGCCTAAGTTGATTTACCCCTGCATATGAAAATGAGGCTTTTTGCCCTTGAAAATGAGGCTTTTTGCCCTTCTGTTACTTGGACAGGGCCTTCCACACCTGAAGCTGCTCCCAACTCCATCCCATCCCCACTCCTGACCGGGGACTTAATCCTTTCTTGCCCCTTACATTTCCCTTCTGCCTTTCAGCCATGCCACTTCTTGATCTCCAAAACCAGCTGGGCATTAACCTAGACAGATGGATGCTCCGCCTGAGTAGCAAGCAGCCCTTTCAGCAGCCCAGCGCGTGCCACACGTTTGAGAAGGAGTGGCTGGAGTGCTCGGAAGGCATCGGGATGACCCGGGCCAAGGAGGAGTGCCGGCTGGAGGCCGAAGATCTGGAGGAATGCATGACCAAGCGCAAGATGGTGAGAGGGGCATAGCTGGGACACGCGACGCCTCTTGGGCGCCCTTGAGTCCTTCTCGGGGAATGCGGGTGTTCCGGCGGCAGGCTGGGTGAGCAGCAGGCAACGAGGATGGGGTTGTTCCTTCCCCAGACAGGAAGGTTACTGCGGTCTGCTTCTCACTTCGGTACCATCTTGACTGGCTCACCCACTGCACTAAGGCCAAAAGGGGGGTTGATTGGAGGGTGTAACTGCTACAGTTACAAACATTTTTAAAAAATGTTTTGGCAACTTACGTGACCCAAACAAATTGCGATATATGTAAGAAACGGTCCCCTAAAAAGTTTAGCTCAGGACAAAGGGCAACTAGGCGCTGTGCATGGCCCTGAACCACCAGTGGGAGATGGTGAGCAAGAGGCTAGAAAGGGGAAAGCCAAGGGCTGCATCTGCCCCAGTCCCTGTTTCGTCACAACTGGAATGTGATGGACAAATAGCTGATTTCCAGTGCTGTTATTTTTCTTCCCTTTATTAGACATGTTAGAATTCGATTCTTCCTGATGGAATCACTGGCCATATCCCTTGCCAAGGCCATAATAATAATTATTACCAATAATAGCAAGAAGCATGTGTTTTTGTTTAGGGGGGGCGATATTAAATTGCAGTGACAGCTGAGTTCTTTTGTGAAAAGTGAAAATTTTATATGAACTGTGATAGGAATAAGTGAAAAAACAAATACAAATGGGCCAGTTACATCATACGGAGGTCGCACTTATCCCAGCTCCAGCAATGCAAAAAAAGTCTCGATATGTCGCAACATGTCACGTGACGTGGCAAGTTTGACACCCGTGGTATAGGTAATACCTTGCTCAATAGTAGTAGCTGTGAGAGGGATCTTGGAGTCCTAGTGGACAATCACTTAAATATGAACCAGCCAACATATAAGGAATGGTTGTTGGAATTGGGTATGTCTAGTTTAATGAAGAGAAGGACGAGGGGGACATCATAGCAGTGTTCCAATATCTCAGGGGCTGCCACAAAGAAGAGGGAGTCAAGCTATTTTCCAAAGCACCTGGAGGCAGGACAAGAAGCAACAGGTGGAAACTAACCAAGGAGAGAAGCAACCTAGAACTAAGGAGAAACTTCCTGACAGTTAGAACAATTAACCAGTGGAACAACCTGCCTCCAGAAGCGGCGAATGCTCCAACACTGGAAGTTTTTAAGAAGAGACTGGACAGCCATTTGTCTGAAATGGTATAGGGTTTCCTGCCGGAGCAGGGGATTGGGCTAGATGACCTCCAAGGTCCCTTCCAACATCATCATCATAATTATTGTTATACATGTTACCACTTCCATCTTGTGTGGGACAGGAGAGGCCTATGATTTCATTCTGACCCCGTCTTTTCTGCTCCTTCCCTTTTGCAGATGCAACGTGTCCGAGCCATCTTGAAGCAAAGGGACTTAATGATTAAGGAGGGGAAATACAAGGCCCCCCAACTACCAGAGTGACTGAAAATTTGGCTGTGATCCCCAAGGAGAAAACTTCCTTTGCTCCCTAGGAGCCGAAGAGATCTGTTCTTAATACTTTGTTAAAGAATGGTTTCGTTGGAACCTTTTCATTTCCCTCTTTTGGTTTCTAGTCCAACCCATGAATAAAATTCTTTGGGACCTGAAATGTAATTGGTTGAGTGGCTCCGCCTGTGTGATGTCAAAAGTATAAATCGCCCCTTGCAAGAAGAATTGAGACTACCAGTGTGCCAGTCAAACACTGCAGGCTTGGGAATTTCTCTTGCATAATAACTGGATGTTTTCCCCTGTGTTGGCTAGTCCCACTTGGGCTCTTTCCCTAATGTGATCCTGCTTTCATGTTGCAGTCTCTTTTACATCTTCCTCCCCCCCCCAGCTTAGGTTGAGCTAATTCATATTTTGTTGGCCGAATATCACCCCAGCTGTCCTGATGGCGTTGTTCCTTCATCATTTGCAGGCCTCCCTTTTCACTTTCTCCTTTCCGCTGTTGGCAGAACCAGCACTTTCCATCCTCTCCTGGGACCGCTGAGTTTCCAGAGACCAAGGCCTGCAATGGGACAGGCACATCACCCTTGGGCTGCATGCAGCCTCCCCAGTCTCTCTCTTCCCCCACAAGTGCTCAGTTTCTAGCATTTTCCATCTTGCTGATTTCCAATGTGAGGCCTGAAACTCCAGTTGTGGGTTCCAGTTGGCCCTGACCAGCAAAACTCACAGCGATGCACGCAGATTGGGGTAATTTAAAAGGAGAAATTTTTTAACATTTTAAAAAATGTATTTCAAAGTGGACATGCTGCTACTTCTTGCAACTCATTGTGGTTATGAAGAAGGATTTTAGAAGTATGAAAGTGGGATGGGGTTGGGGTCTCCTTACTTAGTAGGGTGGATTTCAGCCCCTTGCTTGTCCTTGGCACTTTCCTTGATCGAGAAAATGATGCCCATCCTGTTGTTGTAATTGCTTGGGAATGCAGTAGCTGCTTGTAGGAATAGGGTGGTTGGTAAGTCAAAGCAGATTCTGGGAGGATTGTTCTATTCCTATTCCTGTTCTGTTCTATTACTATTGGGGGAGGGTGCCTGCAGGGGGAATATTATCTGCTTCCTTCTACTCTGCGAAATGCCCTCCCTCTGGGTGAGAGGAATGCAACCTGAAAACATCTGCCTTATCTCCAGACAGCAGAGCTTGGGACCGTAAACCAATGGAGACCTTGAGATGGGCACTAAATCTCCAGCTTCTCATAACACTGTGGCATCTGGATTGGCTGGATTTCAACCGGACGGTTGGACACTGGGAGGAGTAGTTTTGAATTCCCTTTTTGATGTAATCCTTTGCGCGCCAAATCTTCAGACCTTGCTTTGCTCTCTTGCTATCACTAACTCTCAATAAAAAGTTCCTTTTGAGACAATGCCTGTTTCAAGAGTTCTGCTTTCTTGGGAAATCTAGTTGAGGCAGGTTCTTACATAAAGCAAAGTCTGCAGTAGTGCCCAACCCAGAGAGGCATCTGCCCTACCAAGGGGGCCATGCACAGCACGTCTCTGCATGGCAGTGAAAGGAAGAAGTTGGAACCGAGACTGCAGTGAGGCAGCCATTCAGATTTATCCTGGAGAAGCCCCCCCCCCAACCTGGGTACAGGAAGCCGCTGCTCTAGAAGATGCCTTGAGGCCGAGATGGTCGCTCCATATCGGGAGGAAAGTCCCAAAAAGTAATTCTCACCCGAGGAGGTCGGAAAAAGACTCACAAGAAAAGGACGGAGCTGCTTTCCAATGATGAAGATCTTGACCCGCAGTTGGATCCGATGGAGGGGATCCTGAAGTGAGCCATGCATTACATGGTGGAAGCTTTCGAGGACCTAAAAGCCAAATCCCTGAGCTGCCCAGAAAAAGAGGAAGAACTGACCGAGGACAGAGACAGTGGCAGCTACTCTGGTAGTGAGGCAGTGAGCAAACCTCCCCCCCCCCCCAGAGCCAGGACCCAAAGACTGGCCAGAGGGAGAACTCCCCCCCCCCAGGAACCAAAGCTGGTTCCCTTGGGAGTCACATTCGCTCAGTCCTTCCCTACGTGCAGGTGCCTGGGAGGTCTCTGCCCAAGGATGCAGCCGAGATCTGGCTCACCGCCCTAGCCCTGGAAGGAACCGCCGCCGGGTGGATGGTAACCCTGTAGAACTGCAACGCCCCCAGCGCCAGCACTTGAAGCGCTGCGTGGCCGCCCTGAGGCGCCCTTTCGAAGACCGCCTGGCAGACCGGACCGGCGTTTCTGGGATTCTGTCCCGCTTCTCGGGAGGCCCGGGCCGGCTTCCCCCTCCTGCCCTCGCGGCTTCGGGGAAGCCGGGCGGCGGGAGAGGCGCCCCTCCCTCCCTCCCTCCCGGCAGCCGCTCCAGCACCCAGCAGTGCGCAGCCTGGCCGGAGCTGCCGCGGGCGCATGCTCGGAGCCCCGCCCGCCGCCGACTCCCCCGGGCTGCCAGCCCCGGGCATCGACGGGCGGGGGGAGGGGGGAAGCGCCTCGCGGCAGCGCTACGGATTGACGGCGCCAAGCCGGTGTGTGTGTGTGTGTGTGTGTGTGTGAGGCGGGTGTCTTCCGACTGCCGTGCCTGGGGCGGGGGGGGGTGTCACCGGGAGGGCCGCTCTCCCTCCGTGCCCCGCGGAGCCCTCGCCCGCGCTCAGCCTCGGTTCGGCGGGGGCGTCGCGGGGCGGGCCCGAGGCAGCGGCGGGGGCGGCGCCTGTGCGGCAGCGGCGGCAGGAGGAGGGAGGCGGCCGGCTGGCAGGCTGGGCTCTCGCCGGCTGGTTCGCTCGCTCGCTCGCTCGCCTGCCCGCCGGGCTCCCGGGTCTGGCTCGGCCGTCGGGAGAGCGCGGAGTGGCGTCCAGGGCAGCACCTCGGTAAGCTGGGCGGCGGCTCCTCCATCCCACCGCAGCAGCCGAGCCGAGCCGAGCCGGGGCGGCGGAGGCTTGGCGCGCCCTGCGAGCGGAGGCTGCGGGCGGCGCGGCAGCCCCTCCGGCCGGCAGAGGGGGAGGCTGCGTGGAAGCGGCCGGCCGCTTCTCCCTCCCCCGCCAGCAGCGAGCGCTCCTCCGGCGGCGGCGAGGAAGCCCCCGCCTGCCCCTGCCGCTCGCGCTGCGGCCCCGGATGGGACGGGCTGGGGGGAGGCTCGCAGGTTCTTGGGGACCCCTCCGCTCGGGAAGGCTCCCCCCGCCGCCCCGGAGCGCCCGCGGGTGCCTGCCGGTGACAAGCGGCGTCTTCCCGGCGGTTCTGGAGTGGGCGTGTTCCCAGGAAATGGGGAGCTTTGGGGGGCGGAAGGGAGGGGGGAGCCCCTCTTGCACGCTGATGGCGCCCGAAGCGCTTCTTCTCCCGCGGGGGATTTTACACGGGAACGTGTGAGAATTCGATGGAAAAAGGGATTCTCGCCCCTCCCCCCCCCTTTGGGTGAAGCCCCGAAAGGCGCGAGGGTCTTTGTTCTCCACCGTTGCCCGCATTAAATTGTTTCCTAATCCAGCGTCTCCCTCTGGTTCTTAATTCCGGCATTTTAATGATAGCCCTCCTCAGGAGGCGACCAGCCCCCGAGCTCAGTAATCTGAACGTCCGATTGTTCTGTGTCTCCCGGCAGACGCCCCTTCTGGAGGGAGCAGCGCCTAGTGTTGTTGCTATTGTGGTTCCTCCATCACGTTTTAATCCTGTTTGGTTCCTGATGTTCCTGTGGTATAAAATCCTGGGTTGGTCTAGATGTGATCAATCTGATTGAGGGGGATTTAAAACACCCAGCATTCAGATCTTTTGTATGTTCCTGAATGTTACATGTTACAGAAGGCAAGACCTCCCCAGGTTGGCTCCAGCGATCGTGGTGGGGGGAGACTGGGGGGGGAGGGGGACATTGTTCAGCACATGCCATTTAGTTAATTAAAAGGGGGGAGGAAATCAAAGCGGCAGATGTGTTCGCTTGAGGCCAAGCTGTGCAGCTCTGAGGGGACAGTTTGGAAGGATTTCTCCTGCCCCAAATGAGGGATGCTCCATCCTCCCCCCCCTCCCTTTTCTCACTGAGCATCTTGGATAATAAAAGGGGCCAAAGGCATTCATATTCAGGACCACCACCACCACCCCTCCCAGGCTGTGGGGCACAGGTGTAATAAATAAAATGTGCATAATGGTGGCACATAAAGGAGCTCCATCTTCCTGCAAGGAAAAATCACAAGTTGTGAGGGATTTAGGAGAAGAAGTGTTGTATTGGATGGAGGGGGGCACCTGAGAGAAAAAAATGTAAATATCTTTAGCACCAATCTGGACAATGCTGGCTTTGTTTTCCAAAACTGCTAAGCTGCCCAGATCTGTGAGAATCATACAGAGCTTAATTTGGGCTTCCTGGGCTCTGGGATTTGTTTCTGGGTCACGTTCCTACTTGTAGAAAGCCTACGAGAGACTCACAATGTGCAGAGTGTCTCTCCGTCCGGATTCTCTGGCACGAGGGAGGGACCCAGTCAAGAAATCCAGCACTCCAGAAAGCAGCTTCTTTGTGTGTGTCAGGCCGGGAGCACATCGCACTTGATCTGCAAAACCTCCTCGGGAGCTGCATCCCCTCCTGCGCTGTGGCCCGTGGGGGGTGGTGTATCGCTGTCCCCCTTTAGTGGCACCACCCAAGGCAAGCGGGCCTAGCTAGGCCAGTGAGCTGGGCGTGCCTTGCCTTGTTCTAAGGGTGTAAGGATCCCTCCTGACCCAGCTCTCCCCACTCCTGCCCCAATTTGCCTTAGAACAAGGCTGCACCTTTGCTGGAGAGTCAGTCCGGAATTGGGAAGCCTCTAAACTAAAATCTATTTCAGAGCAAGAATTCTCCTCCTGATGCTTTCTTATCCCCTGCTTATTTTTTGTGTGAACCAGGGAGTCCCAAATAGCAGTTCAGAATTGTACCAGTGGATCAGTGCCACTGACGCCATGCCTGGTTTCTTGATCTCCTAGTAGAGGCTACAGAGAGAAGGTGGTAAAGCCAAATCAGTGGCTCATGGTGCCTCATTTCCACAACTTATTCATTTATTTATCCCATTTATATGGCTGGCCATCCCAACATGTGACTCTGAGCATGAACTTGGTTCCTGAATTAATCTACTTTCTCAGCTGGGGCCTGTGTTCCCATACAGGCTAAATCAAAATAATAGTAGTGATTAAAAATCTAGTCACATTTAGCATTTGGGGCAGAGCAGCCCCTAGATCTGCAATGATCTGGCTTGGTGTCTCCTGTGAACACAACCCTTAAAGAATGGCTCAGTGGATGAGTTCTTTTAGATGAGTGGTCTTTCTGCACACACTGCTAGACCCTGATGTGAGTCTGGGGTGAGACCATCCTAAAATGAAAATTAGGGCTTTCTGGCCCACTTGAGTTCCACGGGCAAAAATGAGGGTGTGAATTGTTGGGAAGGAAAATGAATGAAAGGACCACATGGGGTGGAGAGGACCTGCCTGGAAGAGATTCCAGTTGCTGGCTTTGCAGGGCAGCAAATACATCCTTTAGTGAGCTTGCAGGATGAAAATCATCCCTCTTTGCAGAGGACTGTTTTTAATACAGTCTGCCTGTTAAGGAAGAAACACTTTTCTGCCATATTTAATGCATTTTAGTACATTTTGAACGTCATCTATGTGCTCACGATGGTTCCACCAGTTGCATTAATTTGTCATCTGCACTCCAAGCCTCCTAAGAGAGAGGAGGTCATCCTGAAGGATGTATCCTGAAGAAACTTTATTTGGAATCCTGCATTTTCTAAACTAAACTGAACTAGGGGGACTCTCCCTCATTCAGCAATCCTGAATTAAAATATTCTGAGAGAGGGGAAAAAATATCTTTGGGTTAAGCTCCTTCTCCTGCCTAGACAAAATTCCCATTTGAATTCTTTATAGTTGGAATACGTTTGCTCAATCCCCCATCATCCCAGGATAATGGAGCGAGGCAGCCAGAGTGCGAAAGATGCTAAATGCACAAGGTTATTAATTAGCACAATAACTGGAGCAGTGTCTTTAAGAGCCTTGAGGCTTTTTGTTTTTGCACAGAGAGGCTATGTTCAAGCAACACACTTAGCTTGCTAAATTTGTGGGCTTTACATAATACAACCAAACTTGAAAAAGCCAAATGGCCTGGATCCAGAAGGCATGCTAAACCACACGTATACACAGCAAGCAAAGTTAGCACCAACTAAGAACATCCTGTGAGAATCCAGATAGTAGCAGTTTAATTAACTTAATTAGGGCTGTGAAGTGAATCCAGCCAGAATGCTTGCTTCTGGGTGCAGTCTGGAGGTCAGCTTGACGGTCCATCCCCCACCCTGAAGGCTGATCCTTGGCATTCCCTCCCTTACAAGGCACTGTCTGGAAAAGAGGGTAACTCTACCGGAGTTAGAAGGTGACAGTCAATAGAGCTTTCCTTTGGCTCTTGGGCTGCCTGGGAAGAGTCAGCTGAAGTGTGCCACAATGGCAAAAATGCATCACAACCATTTGCAGGCCAGTTCAGATGCAGACATCTGCCCCAATGGAAAAGGTGCATTATGTTGTCTTGTGGTTCTTATTCTTCTGTTCGTTGGCTAGAGATACTGTTGTGAGATTGACACCTATACAAATCATTTAAACAAATAAACGAACGGTTGCTTTAGATAGCCCTCCCCTGAGCATTGCAAAGGATGTAGCAGCTGCTTGGGTGGCAAGCAAAGTTTGTCTGCCCCTTTTCAGCCTTCTGACTTTTCTGTCTCCTCGTAGGTTGGTGGATTCCAAGGTTCAGCAGCACCTCTGGGCTTGCCGGGGCCTTCCTCCCTGGGGCCATGTCTTCCTCTGACGAAGAGACTCTCAGCGAGAGATCCTACCGGAGTGAGCGGTCCTGCAAGAGTGAACGGTCGTACCGCAGTGAGCGGTCTGGCAGTCTCTCTCCTTGCCCGCCAGGGGATACTTTGCCCTGGAACTTACCTCTTCACGAGCAGAAGAAGCGGAAGAGTCAGGACTCCATTCTGGATCCAGCAGAGAGAGCTGTTGTCAGAGTAGCTGGTAAGGAAAATAGTTCTCTCCCCAAATTTAAGCAGGTGATTTCAGAAGACGAGAGATCTACAGGCAGTGGGGTTCTTCTGGGTGGTTTCTCCAGCCCTTCAAATTTGGTGGCATCGTCCTTTCTGCAGTGGGTCCTACAAATACAGTACTCAGAATGGAAGTTCAGAAACTGGATGCCTTTCCTGGAAGGTTGTTTGAAATGTCAGTGGAGTCTTAAGGACATCCAAGAAGAGAGGAAGGGAGAGCATGAGCAGAGGGAGAAAACTACGGGGATGCCCTAGATGTCCTCTGGGGAGTGGATCGCTTAAGTTACTTTTGCTTCTACTCACAATATGCCTGCTGCAAAAAATGTCATTTTGCCACCCAATATGGTGGGCTTTGGATACTTCAAAAATCCTCCAAGTGAGGAACTGCATATGTGTCTCTCTGTCCACAGGCAATTTCTGGAAGCCATGAGGTCAGTTGGGTCATGACATTATCCCAGGTGTGACACGAAGATGTGTTAGACACATCATGTCAATGATGTATGGCACATGGTTTGGGTTATTTGTATGATATACTACCATACAATGATGTACTGGTTTTATTTCTTCTTATAGGATGGATGCAGCTTGCTGCAACCAGCTTATCTTACCTAAAAATAAGGGAAAGTATTTCTTGGTGTCAGGACTTTGGATTTTACATATGTGCAGATTTTCTTGACCGATCATTTCCTTGTTTACTGCTTAGGAATTGTTTTCTTTCCAGTTTTGTAGGGTGGCTGCTGTGTGTGTGTGTGTGTGTGTGTGTGAAAAATGTCAAATGGTGGCCATGACTGCACAAATGGAGCTCTGCCATTTATTTCTTATTATGCTTTGGAAGGGATGCAGGTACAAAATGTAATCACAGCCATCATCTTGGCTTGTTTAATACCCTTGCATATTTGTAAGAATTTCAATCTGGGCTCTGTAATCTTTTCTAGGAGAAATCTATGCTGCTTCCGTATTTCCTGACTATTGTGAATATAAACTTAGATCCCTTGAGGGATTAATTGATTGAGTTTTGATCGATTAGACAACAGCTTAATTCATGAATGAAATGTAGTTACTAAGACCTTGGGAAGGTTTTGCAAATTACCAGTTTCTATGCATGAGGTCCCAAAGCCCGATCATGAAAAGTAAAGAAGAAGTAAATGAAAATGCCCAGCAAGCCACCAAAATCAAGATAAGCCAAGGTCAGGAATCTGATTTTTTTCAGAAAAGGTAGGTGTGAAATGTTTTCATTTTGAAGTCCAGCTCCATATTTGGGCATAAACCGACCTTTAGCCCCCCCCAGAGTTTGATTAATGAAGAGAAGATCTTTGTACTCAGAAGCTGAGTATGGTTGGACCTGGATAGTTCATCTTAAGGAATCCCAGGACTGCAGGCTTGATAGGGAAGTCGAAAAAACACTTTGAAAACTGACAATGACAGACCCCCTTCTTAATTGCTGCCAATAAAGCTATACATGTGAGTTCATGAAGTTGATCAACTTGAAGGAGACTTCATGTTGAAGCTGTGCTTTGTAGCTTTTGCTTTATAGTGTTTGCATGAGGCATGTTTCATTTAGTAAATATGAAATACACAAGGTTCCTGGAGATAGCAGGTTAGTCTCGTCCCACCTGCATCCCGTCATTGTATCTAACATATTCTTGAATACACCCTCTGGCGTGATCTGTTTTCAACAAACCCGTGCTGGCTACTAGTTATGACTTTGTTTGCTTCTAGTTGTTCGCAAATCTGCTTTTTGATTATCTTTTCTAGGATCTTCCCAGGTATTGATGTTAAACTGATTGGTCTGTAGTTTCCTGGGCCCGTTTTTTCCCCTTTCTTGAAGATGGGGACTACATCAGCTCTTTTCCAATCCTCGGGTACTTCCCTGATGCTCCAGGATTTGTGGAAAATGTGGTACAATGGTTCTGAGATAACATCTGCCAGCTCTTTCAGAACTCTGGGATGTAATCTGTTGGCTCCTGGTGATTTGTATTTGTCAAGATTGGATACGTGTTCTCTTACCATTTTCTTGCTTATTTTGATTTTTGTTTCTAGTATGTCTTTTGCAGTGGCTTTTTTGGTGTGTTGGGCTATGGTTTCTTTTTGTGTGAAGACTGATGCAAAGTATGAGTTAAGCAGCTCAGCTTTCTCCCTGTTGCCTGTAATTTCCTTGCCATCTTCTCTCTTTAGTGGGCCTACAGTTTCCTTGACTTTTTTCTTGTTGTTAATATGTTGAAAGAAACTTTTTTTATTGTCCTTGATCTCTGTTGCAAGTCTTTGTTCATTCTGAGTCTTTGCTTTCCTGACTTCATCTTTGCATGTTCTGGTTATTATGTGCCCCTCTTTCCATTTTTTTTGTATTTGTCCTTTTTGTCTTTTAGTTTGTTAGTGAGATCTTTGTGCAGCCATGCTGGTTTCTTCCTGGATTTCTTGTTTTTCTTTCTCAATGGTATTGTGCTGATATGGGCTTTTGTGATCGTGTTTTTCAGGGTTTCCCATGCTTCTTGGGTTGTTTTCCCCTTTAGGATTTTCATCCATGGGATCTTTCCTAGGTTCTCTCTGAGCTTGTCAAAGTCAGCTCTTTTGAAGTTTAGGACATTGGTTGGGTTGTTTTCAATTGCTAGTGTTTGCATTATATTGAATTCCAGTATGGTGTGGTCACTTTCACCCAAGGTTCCAGCAATTTTGATTCCCTCTATCACTTCTTTGTTAGTAAGAATTAGGTCCTGTATAGCTTTACTTCTAGTTCCCTCCTTCACCTTTTGGGGGACAAAGTCGTAGGCAAGGTTGGTTAGGAATCTCTTTGACCTCCCGCTCACTGCAGAGTTTGTCTCCCACTTGATATCTGAATAGTTGAAGTCTCCCATTACTACTGTGGTATGCTTCCTACATACATTTGTTAACTGGCTGGTAAAGAGTTCATCTATTTCTTCTGATTGGTTGGATGGCCTGTAATATACACCTATGGCAATGTCACTTTTTTTCTATTTCATATTGACCCATATGCATTCTGGAGGGCTTTTATCTTGGATCATGTGCATTTCTGTAGATATGTAGTGTTCTCTTACACATAGTGCAACTCCCCCTCCTCTTTTTGTAGACCTGTTTCTTTTGAACAAGTTGTATCCATCCTGGTTTTCTTTGTTTTCATTGTCAATCTAAATTATGTTTTTATGGTTGTTCTTTCTTAAAATCTTATTTCTCTGCTGTTTGGAAATTTTATGGATACTTTTTTGAATACATTGCTGCTATTAAATTGTTTTTATATGTTGAGGTATGATTTTGAGGTGTCTTGTTGAGCAAAGGACTATTTTGGCTTCCACCCATCACAAGGGGGGCGGGTGAGGTGATATCACTGGAGGAGCCCCCTGTGGTATTTTTTCTTTTTTCCTTCTCATAAACAATTGAGGATTGTTTTATTTTACTGCTTGTTTGTTAAAAGGGTAAAAATCCATCATAATTTGGTTGTTGTGTTCAAATTTCAGAAGCTGTGAAAAGGCACTTGGGATTTCCTGGAGCAGAGTTGGGATGGGGCAGTCCTAGCATAAAGATTGTTGAAAATTGGATTAAAAAATGAAATTGACTTAAAATAATTCGGGAAATTGACCAAACTGGGAAAAGGATCTCTTCATTTATTTCTAGGATGAATCTAGGATAATTTCAGTCAAGGATTGAAATTATTACTGGTAAGCTTGTACAAATCTTGTGTTTATGCAGAATTTTAAATTCAAGAAAAGAATAACAGAATGACAGAGTTGGAAGGGACCTTGGAGGTCTGCTAGTCCAACCCCCTGCTCAAGTAGGAGACTATTGTGAAAAAATGGTGAAATTTTTTTCACAATGGTGAAAAAAGTAAGGTTCTATATTTAGGCAAGAATAAACAAATGCACAGGTATAGTATAGGGTTAGGGTTACATCACCATGAACTCGGAGAGTAAAACGGACATCGCCAACAAATTCGGAGTGCTTGGGTATGGTTAGGAGGGCATTGACTTTTCTAGGCTGCCCTAAGTTTCCTGGTAAAATACATGGGAAAATCCTATTGGGGGAAAATTCCACCTAGGGTTAGGGTTAGGTCACCATGAACTCATAGAGCAAAATGGACATCGCAAACAAACTCGGAGTTCTTGGGTATGGTTAGGAGGGCACTGACTTTTCTAGGCTGCCCTATCTATGTTTCCTGGTAAAATACATTGGAAAATCCCATTGGAGGAAAATTCCACTTAGGGTTAGGGTTAGGTCACCATGAACTCATAAAGCAAAATGGACATTGCCAACAAATTCGGAGTGCTTGGGTATGGTTAGGAGGGCACTTACTTTTCTAGGCTGCCCTATCTATGTTTCCTGGTAAAATACATGGGAAAATCCCATTAGGGGAAAATTCCACTTAGGTGGTACCTTGTGCAATAGTAGTAACTGTGAGAGGGACCTCGGAGTCCTAGTGGACAATCACTTAAATAGGAGCCAGCCGTCTGCTGCAGCTGCCAAAAAGGCCAACACAGTGCTGGGCTGCATTAACAGAGGGATAGAATCAGGATCAGGTGAAGTGTTAATACCACTTTACAATGCCTTGGTAAGGCCACCTTTGGAATCCTGCATCCAGTTTTGGTCACCACGATGAAAAAAAGATGCTGAGACTCTAGAAAGAGTACAGAGAAGAGCAACAAAGATGATCTGGGGACTGGAGGCCAAAGCATATAAGGAACGGTTGCTGGAATTGGGTATGTCTAGTTTAACGAAGAGAAGGACGAGGGGGGACAGGATAGCAGTGTTCCAATATCTCAGGGGCCATCTTGTTAATTTCCTGGGACATCTTCTGGGTCAGCTTAAAAGTGCCTGTTGTGAAACATTCCGAGTCAAGGAAGGAAGTGCAACTCTGGGAGTCTGAAAAGTGGAGCAAGGCCCCTTCGGAGCCATAAATTTCCTCTCCAGCCCAGTGCCAGGGCCAGACAGGAGAAGCAAAGAACTGGCATGATGAATGCAGCATTT